CCTGTCCACCTGCCGGTCCCCCGTCCCCTGGCGTGCCGTCCATCCCATGATTAGAGCGAAACACGCTACCATGTCCTTGATCTCCCCAAAGCAGAAGTATTTCCGCTCCCCATGTACCTGCGCGGGGACACCAGCAGCCCGCATAGCGGACACATATGGACCACTAATCCGGTGCTGCACGCTATTGAGAAGCAGTGCCACCTGCCCGTATCGCTCGATGACGCCAGAATCCTTTAGGTGCGCCACCATAGCCGCCACCTGCTGAGCCTCGTCGTCCGGGTCGGTAGCCCAGATCCGGACCACACTCGGGTAATCAGATTGACTCGCCTGTGGGAACGGCGCTATGTCCTTCTCATAGCGCGGGCCGGCCGTTTCTGCGTTTGCCGCGTCCTGCATCCATCGGTTGCACGCGTCCACAATCCCGGGTGCTGAGCGGTAATTCGTGGTCAACAGATTGACGCTGCAGTTCGGGAACTTGGTGGGGAAGTCCAGCAGGTTGCGGACAGTCGCGCCCCGGAACCCGTAGATGGACTGGTCATCATCACCCACTACGGCGATGTTGCCGGTGCTGCGCGCCAATGCGAGTAGCAGTTGCTCCTGCACCGGGTTGGTGTCCTGATACTCGTCAACCATGAGCCATTTCACATCGCGGGCCACCGGAACGGAACCGTCCTCCTGACTGAGCAGGTCCAGAGTCCACCGTTGCAGATAGCTGAAATCCACCTTCCGGTGGCGGCGTAGCGTCTGCGTGTAATGGACGTAGCACTCTCCCAGCGCCCGGTGCAGCGCGTTCTGGGATGCGATCAGCATCTGCGGGTCAATGAGCCGCTCAGACATGGTGTTGAAACTGTCCGCCAACGCCTTGGCGACGCCGGCCGCGCCCCAGCGGCAAACAAACTTGTGGGCCTGCTGAGGACTGGTGATTTCCTCCAGCCTGCTCTGGATGAAAGCCATCTGCTGGAGGCTGTCCAGCGTCTGCAGGTCCGGACCCGCGGACATGGCACCGTCGCCCTCCTTCAAGATGGAGTTACAGAAGCCGTGGATGGTTCCTATCTGGACCCCGGACAGGTCTTGACGGCATCCCAATCTCGGAAGCCGCACGGTCGAAGCGCTGTCTCAACTCGCGGGCCGCATTCTGCGAGAAGGTGCATATCATGACCTCCCGCGGATGAGCGTACCCGCCCACGATGAGATTGAGAGCTCTTAGCACGAGGGTCGTCGTTTTCCCCGACCCGGGGCCCGCTATCACGAGCAAAGGCCCGTGTACGTGGCCTACGACGCTGGCTTGCTGCTCACTCAGATTTGGAAAGTGGCTGGTTATCTGGTTGGTCAACATCTCGCCCTCCTTATAAGGCGGTGTTAACCCGGGTTTTCGGTTACTGAACGCTGGCGGCGTTTCCCACAAAAGTGTCGGACATCGCTTTCACGTCGGACCGTGGTATAGTCCTGAGCGTCCCCGATTTTTGGTCATGGATTACCATTTCAGAGGAGGCGAAACGATGCCTTATACCTCCAAGTTTTCATCAATGCCGATGTACGTTCAATGGTAGTGTTTACTGGTTCCACATTAGCATTCTGGCCTGCCTAAAGTCGCATCACGACCTGTTTCTGGTCGGCAGTGGTATTGGATGCAACACACCACTGCCGCAGCGCGACCGTCAGATTATCGCCTGCCTGAACTGTTCTCGTACCAGAGGTTAGTTCTCAGGTGGGGCTCGACTGACAATACCTCACGCAGCCAGCAGACGACGGTTTCGGTCCCTGTTTCGGTGAGGTTTAAGGAGTCTCCGCCCAACCGGTCTGGCGGGCCGAGCCGTTGCAGGTAGATAGGCGGGTCGCCCTGCTCCATCGCCGCCGCAACCTGATCTGGTGGTGGGCCTTGCGAGGCTTCGCCGAATTTCAGCACTGCCGTAGGAATCATGTGATCGACTCCGTCGTGCTACAGGCCTCACTAGCAGGCCGCGCGTCTCGACCTACGCGTCGACTCCCTTTGGGCCAGCGCTTGATAGTAGGCCATCTCGGCGGCTTCGTCTTCTTCCACAAATATTCCCAGGGCCGTCACCATCCCGACGATTTCCCTTTTGCTACATTCATCGGGCGGCCCAAAAACTGGGCAGGGCTGCCATTCGCCACGGAGCCGTGGTCGCCGCGCTGGCCAACGTGCTCAAGGGACACCTCATTGGACTTGTCGTCTGGGTGGCCCGGTGGGTAATTTAAAAACTTCTGAGCAGCTCGCCCGGTGTTCTTTTGCATCTGACTGCCCAGTTACCTACATCGTTGGGTCTAACCGGGGCTTTTCATCTTCGACGCCCTGCTGATATTCATCGCTGCCGCCATAGCCGGCGCCGTGATTGCCGTTGTGGCTCGTCGCACCGACGTTCCCAGCGGTACAAAACCTCGCCGCCCTTGGTACGAATAATTGTTTCCTTGGTGGCGATCGGTACTTGCCCCGCTTTTGGGCAGACTGCCCCTACGCCTCGGAGCCTTCGGGCGCACCGCTGGCGCGTGTCCTGACAGCGTTGAAGAGGGGCCGGGCGCGGGACTTTAGCTTGGCTTTCCCGTTGTGGTCAAAATAGTAGGCGAACTCTTCGTCAGTGCTTCCCCAGAACTTGATGCCCGAAGTGATAAATCCCTCGTTATACGCGACCTGAAGGCCTCCGTAAGGTATCTCCTCCACAGTCTTGCTGACCACTCCGGAGTTCAACATGAGGACCCGCCGGTCGGTGGCCACCACGACGCCGTTGTGAACGTCTGGCGCGAAACGCCCTCCCCCACCCACCGGATGGCCCAGGGCCGCGCCGAGAGCGACGCTCGCCGCCGCTCTTGTCACGGCCTGCGCCATGGTATCGAATTCATCGGCTGGGCCCCACCGGCCCCCCATCCAATACTCGATGTTCTCGTCATCCTCCAGGATCTCGTGGAGCATCCGGCGCTCGCCGGGATAGACGTCAGTCTTCTCGCCGGTCATGTTGCTCTTCAGCACGGCTATGACGCGCTCCAGCAGGTTGGGCTCGTTTCGGCCCCACATTGTCGACCGTTCCCGCCATTGGGCGTCGATTCGCTCCGTTTTGCCCATCGCGTCGTATTGGACCGCCGGTGTCCGGCCGAAATCTGGCGCCGCGTTCGTTGAGGCGGATGGTTCCTCGAAATCGGATCCCAGGGGTGGAGGAGGGTTGGCCTTCGTGTCCTGCACCTGTTCGGCGAACCGCCGTGCCTGGCCGTCACGGACCTCCGCGATCTTGTTGATTCCCGGGGCGGCGTCGTTGCCCAACCAATTGCTCAGGCTCAAGCCTGTGATGGTTACACCGTCCCCAGCACCGTCGTAATCCACTGAGGTTATGTTTTCCAGGGGTATCTCAGTGACCGAAGGTGGTCCAAAGGATGCGCCTTTCAGCATCACCACCCGTTCCCTCGTCACGAGGGCTACACCCTTGTTCTGCCGCATCCGGTCCATCCGGCCTGCTCCTTCCCGGAACACGGAGCCAGGGCCCCAAGTGCAGGAAACCAGCGCCTCGATCTCCTCGTCATCTTGCAGTACTTGGTACAGCGACCGAAGTTCCGAGGAGTGGTCCCTCCCCCAGCCCGGCTGCAGCGCGAGCCAACGGGCGTCGATCCTGCTTTGCTTGTCCTGCATGGCCATCGTCTGTCTCCTGGGTAGATTTCCCGGAGCGCGGTATGCTCTCCCATCGGGTCCACCAGTGATCACCCGCCACAGACCTCCGGCTTTCCCTTCGCGCCCATCCAGGGTTGCGGTGGATCCGAGAATACTGCAGATTTGATGGACTTTCGCTGCGATGTCCCCGGTGGACCTGCGGTCTGCTGGGTGCAGAAACTCACTACGAATCGTGGACGGAGTATAGCAGTAGTGCCTGTTCCGCACAAAAAAGTGGAACCTTCGGCTGCCCATCTTGTGCCGGCCGGTTAGCCTGGAAGTTACCATCACGATGGAAATCACGGTCAAGAACAAGCTCAGATTCTGAGTCGGTCGGGCCAGCTTCGGCGCTACGTCGGCGGCCCAGCGGTAGGAGGAAAGAATTGACGACGGCCCCCATCATCGTCGAGGCCACGGGGCGCCGCGGCGAAACCGCAGGTCGCCGCGACCATGAAAAGTACCCGGTCCGCGCTTTCGATCAAACCCGGAGGAAATCCCGGAATCACTTCCCAGAATGGTTCGTCATTCAGGTCGTCTCCCTGCCTACATCGCCAAGTAAGTGCAGGCCGTTTGGTTCCCGGCACAACACTCGCATATCCACACGGGTTGACCGGCGGCGCAGGAATGTTTGACTCCAATTGGAAACGCGGACCTGGCGCTCCATAGGAATCGCGAGGAATCGCGAGGAATCGCGTTCTACCTCATTTGCGGGACTCCGGGACTTTCTCTCAACAGGACCTGTTTTTTTGGGGTAATATTATGCTCGGCACGATACAACGCTAGAAGGCTAACTTATCGAGAGGCAATACCGATATGCTCAGCTACACAACCAGCGTCGGCCAGGCATCCCAATTACGCGTTAAACGAAAGGAAGTGCAGCTATGGTAGAAGCGGATGCGCGAATACTTCTGGACTGGGACGCCCTGGAGGTCGGTGAGACCTTCGAGACGTACCAATACCTCCTCACGCAGGAGATGATAGACACCTACCGCCAAGGGGTGATGGACCCGGAGGCTAGCTTCCCGACCATCTCGCACAAGGTGGATGTCAAGCAGTACAACGCCAGGTACCGGGACGCCGGTTCGGTCAACGCCCGGTGCGCCTTCTACTGCTACAACCCTCCCATCGGCGGCAAGACGATCACGGTGCGGGCGTGGATCGCCGACAAGTACCTGCGCCGGGGCAAGAACTACATCGTCACCGAGGCGGTTTCGGTTGACGAAGACGGGCGGCTCATCGACCGCGTGATTACCCACGAGCTCAAGCAGCCCACCGAGGTTGGTAAGAAATGGGGAGGCTAGTTCGCACCTACGAGGTGGGGGATGAGCTATCCCCGCTGGTAAAGGAAATGACCCAGGATGCGATCAACCTGTTTGAGGGCAGCGCCGGGCAGTTGGAACCTTCCCAGTTCACCGACGAAGAGACCGCCCGCGAGACCCTGGGAACCGAGGGCACGGTGGCTTCGGGGAGAATGTCATTGTCATTCGCCATCGAACTACTGCGCCGGTACTTCGGCAGCGGCGTGTTCAACCACACCGGCACGGTTGATCTGAGATTCCTGCGGCCGGTCCGTCCCGGCGACACAATCACCTTCACGGGGACGGTTGCCGGCGTGAGTCGGGAAGTGAATGGCAGTCGGGTATCGGTGGAGATCAAGGCCGAGAACCAGCGCGGCGATACCACCGGAGTGGGTCAGGGCAGCGCGGTCGTCCCCAACGCCTTTCTCCCCCAGGACGAGTAACTCCCAGCTGACAAATTCAAGGATTAGGGGGATTCCATCAGGACCCCCCGGCGCCCGGTAGGATCATTGGACGCCCATCGAGGCCGATCTGCCCGTGCCAACTGGTTAGGAAATATTCAGACTCGCTCCCGGTCTCCGTCGCGCGGCCCAAAAAACGATTGACGCACTCTCATGCCTGTCGAATTGGGCGAATTATGGCAGGTTGCCGGCAGGCGTCGTCGCTAAGTTGAAGGACTTAAAAGCTCGGCTTGGTTGGGAATGGAGTCAATTGGAGTTCGTGAGTCCAACAGGATCGGTCCTGGGTGTGCAGATAATAAAAGGCCTCGGCGATCTTAACTGGATTTATCACCACATCAGGATTCTGCTGGGCCCTCGGCAGGGCTCGGGTTCCCGGAGAGTCGATGGTGCCATCTATCACGATGTTGGCTACGTGTACGCCGAACTCGGAATATTCCTCGGTCAGCACCTGCGCCAACGTGCGCATCATCACTCGCGGATAGTACAGCGACTGTCCGGTGTTTCGCTTTCGCCCGCGCAAGGACGAAGAGTTGTTGGAAATGAGGAACGAGCCCTGACCGCGTTCTCGCATGGCGGGCAACACCTCTTTGGCGACCAGGAACGGCCCACGGCTGGAGATATGCTGAGCCGTATCGAACATCTCCACCGGTATATGTTCCAGGAGTTCTTTCTCCGGCGGAAGATCCCGACCCTCCAGATAGCCCGCGTTGTATACCAAAACTTCCGGGTCGCCAGCCTGCTCTCGAACTTGTGAGAACGCATCGGATATGGAGTCGCTTGACACCAAATCCAGCTCGACAATCATGCTTTCGCCGCCTTGCTCACCGATGGCTCGCTGCAAGGGAGACGCGTTGGCCGTGGTACGGGTCGTGAGAATGACGAAAAAGCCCTCCTGTGCGAACTTTTGGGCTATGGCGCCACCAACGCCCCAACGCACGCCCACTGGAAGGTCGCTATCATCGAGCACCCTGCCGTGCGCCAATTGGGTATTCCGGCCATCTGATTGCCACTTTGAAGTCGCCCCCACCACAACGGCGACCGGTTTACGGTTCGAATTCATCTCAGATCCCCTTCCTTTTCAATATCGGTTTCGAGTTCAATATCGACATCGGGCCCACGTCACGGCCGTTCGTACGAGTCTACTGGAAACCCTTCGGTACTTTGTAAATCCACCTGCCGGTCGCGACGTGAAAGCCGCGCGGCCCGAGGCTGTGATACTGCTTGTCTCATCGGACCACCACGCGTCCTAGACTGGCCGTATGGTACCACCATCGGGCAGTCGCCGTCGGGGATTGCCGAGACGCCTCTCTTGGCCGCTGAACGATGAATGAGAAGCTGGCGAGCCTACTCGGAAGTGGCGCCGCAGCGGATATCCGGCACGGCGTCTGTTACTAACGCCCCATCTGCCGCCGCGCCCGATTCACGCTTATGGTAAGATTGGGTGAGCCTCCAGTGCGAATACGCGCTGGTAGCAATTGCGTCAATCTTTTGACCCTGATCAGCGCCGGGATCAAGCGGAGACAGATGTTGTCCAGCGCTACAAAGTGGATGATGGAAACGCTTCGTGCAACGCGAAGTGTCATGTCCAGTTGGTTCGTCCTCGGACCGATTGCCGCTGTTTTGGGGGTAGTGATCGGCGCCCTGGTGCTGACCTACGCTTTTCCGGGGAAGCCCAACATCGCCGTAATTGACATTCCATATACCGTCATTTCCGAGAGATCGGCCTACGTCATCGGCGAGTTCATCAGCTACGCGGAGCGGGACGATTCCATAAAGGCGGTGGTCATCAGGCTCACCACACCGGGAGGCAGCGCCACCGCCAGTGAGCGGCTTTACGTGGAAACCCGGAAACTCCGGGAAAAGAAACCTGTAGTTGTGATACTGAACGGCCTGGTTGCCAGTGGCGGGTACATGATGGCCATGGGATCCAATCATATGTACGCCCAAACCTCGTCTCTGATTGGCAACGTAGGGGCTATTACATTGGCCGGCCCGTTGATCCCCGGGGTGCCGTCGGAAAGTATTGTGTTCACCGGCCCCTACAAGCTGACTGGAGCCTCCAGAAGGGACTGGTTCGCGATGACAGAACAGCTCAAATCCAGTTTCGCCCAAATGGTAATCAGCGAGCGGGGAGAACGCCTGCGAATGACCGAAGCGGAGCTGGTGGAAGGGCGGATTTACTCGGGCATCGACGCCGTAAGTCTGGGCCTTGCCGACGATATCGGCGGCGATAGCGATGCTATCGAAAAAGCAGCAGAACTCGCGGGAATTTCTAACTATGGATTGGTGGACGTAAACTCAGAAGTACAGCGCGAGTTCATCCTGAGGGTAAGACGGATATTCGCCGCTCAATACGATGGCGAAGCAAACGGATTGGTCGACCCGGTGACACTGCTGCTAATGGATCAGGGAAACAGCGACCCTCTCCAGAGCGCATCCGGGCTGGTGCCCGGCAACGGCATTGCGGAGCTCCAGGCACTGCGGAAACTGATGCTTGTCGGGGGCCTGGATATGTATCAGGAGAACCCTCTGCCGGAGTTCCCCCTCGAGATCCGCCGACCTAACGTCTACTACCTGTACGCGGGATATGACGATTAAACTATTAGGGTCGGTTGCCCTATTTCTCATTTTCGCCGCTATCGCTTTCGGTGGTGGGTATCTTTATTTTTACCAGGGCGGCTACAGCCCGCCGCCCTCGCCGCAAATCGTCTTCCAGCAGGTGGGTTCGCAGGCCAGTCCCGCCATCTTGCCCATAGAACCGCCCGCGAGCCTGCCTTCCGGGGGCCTGTTCCTGGTGGATGCTCTGCACAGGAATGCGTTCCGATCCAACGAAATCGTTACGCTGCGGTCGCGGATAGCCAATCGCGGATACGATGTCGAGTTTCTGGGCAACTTCACCACTGTTGAGGAGTCTGACAGGCTGATTCAACTGGAGGATCAACTGCGTCGCGCCGACAGCTTCCTGGTTATCCTCCCGAGAGCCGCTTATTCGGAGGCCGAAGCCAGCCTGGTGGAACAGTTCGTACGTAAAGGCGGAAAGCTGCTGCTGATCTCCGATCCGACTCGACCGCAACAGATAAACACGCTGGCGGAAAGGTTTGGGCTCTACTTCCAGCCCGGCTACCTCTACAACCAGGTTGAGCACGACCTCAACTTCCAGCACATCTTCGTTCGAGAGTTTCAGCCCGAAGAGATAACCGCAGGTCTGGACACCATCGCCCTGTACACAGCCGGCTCCGTCCAGTCATCGGGCCCAGGGCTGGCATTTGCCGATGCCAACACTAAATCTACGGTGGTTGGTTCCAGCGAGAGCCTCAATCCAATGGCCTGGGGCAACAGCCGCAATGTAGTGTCGATCGCAGACCTCACCTTTATGATTCCCCCCCAGAACTCAATGCTGGACAACGACAGGCTGGTATCGAACATCGCAGACTACTTCACCAACAGCAACCGCGAGTTTTACCTCGCCGACTTCCCGCATTTCTATGGACGTGGACTGGACAACGAGGTGGACATCCTGTTGGGGCAAACATCGCTTCTGAACCAGGGAACTGAGCTGAAGAAAGGCTTGTCGGAATACGGGATATCATCCAACGTCCGTGGAGTCGAAGACGTCAGTCGGGACACGGTATTCCTGGGGCTGCACGAGGATGTGATGCAGGTCAGTCAGTACCTGCAGGCCGCCGGAGTGCGCATTGACGATACTCTGAGCACACGTTTTGGTCCAGACCTGGAACTCGAAGGAACTACCGTTACCGTACTTGACCGGAACCAGGACCGATCCATGCTGATACTCCTGTCGGATACACCCGAAACATTGGGCGATGCGGTCAATCGCCTGCTGACCGGCGATTTTAGAGACGACTTGGTTAGCGATTTCGCAGGAGTGAGTAGGTAGTCCATGACAACTAGATCCTTTTGCTACGTTTCACTTTTCCTGGCTCTGTCGCTGCTGCTACTGGTTGCCTGTAACCAACCCGACACATCCCCGCCTGAAATATTGCCCGCAGAGGTACAACCCCTCGCCAGCGCCACTCCCCTGCCGGCAAGCGCCCAATCCGAGATCAACGATTTTGTAAATCAACAGCAGACCATCGATGAACAGTGGGACCAAATCCGCGTGGAGTTCGACCAATGGAGGGCCGAGTTGACCTCGTGCCACCCAAACTCAGTACACGAAGCCCTCAATGACTTCGCCGTTACTTTCAATGATGTGACCGAACAGGCGCGTAACCTTACCCGCGCTCAAAGCACCCGAGAACTCGCCGATACGCTGATAGTGGCCGCCGAGGCGGAGGAAACGGCGTTGCGGCAGTTGCGAGACGGCTGGCAGCCCAATAACGTTGCGCTATTCGAGGAAGTGGAGCAGCGGCGTTCTGATGCGTCCCACGCTCAAAAGGACGCCCAGGACCGGGCGATCGAGTTGCGCGCGGCCCTGGAAGATGGTATCGCACCCGAATCAACCGACGAATTTGCCCAATCATTTGAGCTTGTCAACAATGACTGGCAAACGGTTCACGATGAATACAAAAACTTGCGTGATACGGCAGAGGGTCTGGAACCAGCTGACGTTATCGCCGGCCTCGACCAACTGGTGGAAAAGTTCACGCTCGTCGTTGATGCGCTGGATGAACTACCGGTCCAAACCGGCGCTGAAAGTACAGTAGAGGCTCTCCAAAGCGCGGCGCAAGCAGAACTGGAGGCTTTCAACACCGCGAGAGAACCATCCAACGATCCGGAACTGACCGACGATCCGGAACTGACCGACGACCCGGAACTGCCCGACTTCTCCGGGATCGACGCCAGTGTGAAGACCAGCGACGATGCCCTGGCGGACACCATTCAAACGATCGCCAACACACCGGAGGCTGATCCGACTGTTCCAACTGATCCGGAGCAAGGCCTGGCAGAACTGCAGGTATTCGATGATGAGTACGACAGAGTCGTCGTGACCTGGGATGAATTTCATGATCGTTACAACG